AAAAATATCGTCGCATCAATGAGATGCAACAAGTTGGTATGTTTTATGTTTGTTGTGATAACTTTGGTACTTCAATGGGTTTCAGACGATAAGATGATGTTGTCTCATCTATATGATGTGACAAGGAGGTTTGTTTCAACCAAATGTTGTTTATTTGTTATTAATACAAATATGAGCTTTCTAAAAGTGTTTTGCTGATTTTCACCATGTAATAGCAATCAAAAGGGATTTCTCACTAGACCTTGTGGTCCAACACTCTTTTTGTTTTAAAAATGTGCATTACAGGTCAGACACATGTGAAAAGTAAGAGAAATGGAAAGATGTGTAGAAGTTATTATTGTTTTACATATATGAATTTTGGGAAGTTGTTATTATGCATGTACTTGGTGTAAATGAAAATTTTGTAGCTACTTTTGTATGTAGCATTTTGTATATACTGGGACCAATGTGTATATTTGTATTTCATGTTATATGAAATATGTGGATTTTATACAAATATGAACTTAGGGTGTTACACAGGTTAACAATTTATCAATGCATATATGTAATTTTTCAAAACTACATGATATCAGTTAGTTATTAGTTTAGTCCATGCGGTTGGATTCACGTGAGACCAAGAGTTTTTCGTGAGACCCGTAATTCCAATTTACGTTCATTGATCAACTTTATAAGTTAATGATCTAATGGTTTAAAATTGCACGGTGACAATTTTGTGATTATTGAGAAGTCTCATGGTGTTTGTTAATGTTCAGATTTGACGATTGTAAATCTAATCCAAGGGTTGAGAATTAGTCTTACGGATCTCACAAAAAAGCTTTGGTCTCACATGATCACAAGTCTTAGTCCATGTTTGACAAATATAAACCACTTTATTTTTTGAGTTTATTTAAAAAAAAACGTTTGGATGAACAAAAAGTAGCGTATAAGGAATTTTTTCAATTATACCTTAACTTAATATTAATTGTTCTTTATTACTAATTATTAATTAATATTAGTTTTAAATTATTAATTAATTTTAATTGTAAATTATTCATTAGTAT